ATAATTTCTACTTTTAATTTCCTAAGGAATCTCCATACTGCTTTCCATAGTGGCTACACCAATGTACAAATTCCTAACAACAAAGTACAAAAATTACCTGCTCTTCACATACTCTCCCAAATTTGTCATTTATTATCATTTGGGTAATAGCCATTCTTACAAGTGAGGTGACATCACCAGACAATATTGTATCATAATTATCAAATTTACTACAAGCTTAGAACTAAATTATTCCAACTACTCTTTAAAAAGGACAATTGCCTAATATGACAGAAGTGCCTACAGTGGAATCATATTACAATATATAAATATATTAACATGTACACCTTAAATTTATACAATATCAAATATATTACAATAAAAATAAAAGTGGTATCTGATATTCTTATGCAATTGTAAATAGTTGTTTCACTTTTCATTTTGTCTGTTGTTGGTATATAAAACACAACTGAATTTTTTTTTTTTTAAAGAGGCATGTATTTTTATTTATTTATTTGTTTGTTTGTTTGTTTATACAAGCACTGGGTACAGTCAGAAGCGCGGGAGGGTGAGAGAATTCACCAGAGCCAGGGCGGGGAGCAGAGCAGGCAGAAGGACTGAAGTACACTGCTGAGGGGAGCAGCGGGTGGCAGGAGAGGTCTGCGTGCCATGTGGGACCCTCCTCCGGTGGCCGGGGAGCAGCCGGGGATCGAACTGGCGCCGCAGAGGCTGCGGGCAGTTTCGCAACCCAAGCGCTCAACCGCTGCGCCACCGGGGAGGCCCACAACTGAATTTTTTTATATTATCGCATATTCAGGAACCCTGCCGATCATACTTATTACTTCTCATAGTTCACAGACTTGGGAGTTTCTACATAGGCAAATAATAAGGCTATTTCTTCCTCCCCGACATTAGCTTTTGTTTTTTATTACCTGGTTTATCACCAATTTCAAGTGTGATGTCTGCTGTAGATTTTATGTACTCTTTTTTTTAAAAAAAACTTTTTTTTTAAGAGTTATTTATTTATTTATACAAGCACTGGGTACAGTCAGAAGCGCGGGAGGGTGAGAGAATTCGCCAGAGCCAGAGCAGGGAGCAGAGCAGGCAGAAGGACCGAAGTACACTGCTGAGGGGAGCAGCGGGCGGCAGGAGAGGTCTGCGCGCCATGTGGGACACTCCCCCGGTGACGGAGGAGCAGCCTGGGATGAACCGGCGCCGCAGAGGCTACGGGCAGCTTTGCAACCCAGCGCTCAACCGCTGCGCCACCGGGGAGGCCCCCTTATGTACTCTTTATTGAAGTAAAAATGCTCCCTCTTATTCTATTTGGTAGGGTTCTTTTTATAAATTTTATCAAGTTATTTTTTGTGTGTATTGGAATGGTCTTACAGTTTTTATCTTTTAATGTTATTTATATGATTGATTAAACTCTCCTTGAAATAAACTTGTGTTATTGTAACAGGGTGGTCCCCAGGAAAGGGGGAGGTTCCAGGTTTCCCGCCCCACCCAAAAGGAGGGTGGAGCTGAGCAGGGAGAGAAGAAGCTATAGAAGGGATGGAGGAAGGAAGGAAGCAGGATGTAGAGCCAGGAGACCTGGAGGAAGCACATGGAGCCAAGACACACATGAAGAAACTGCGCTTGCCTTTTGGTCGTGGGCTGGTTGAAACAGATGTGGGCTAAGAGACCCATGGGGAGGTGACAATGGCGGTTTTTGTCTTGATTTTGATTTTGCTCTTTTCCTTCCATACTTGTCTGGTTGTTCCTGATCCTTTTCTGTGGGTCCCCACTGGAAGATGGCAGGCTTTGGGGCCTTGCTCTGGGCCAATCCTGCTTGGGTGGACTTTTACCCATGAGGGGACGGGTAACTTTGGGTACTTGATTTAGAAAGTATTTTCTTTGCCTTTCCTGTATTGTTTCCTAATTGTATTAAAGTTCCTTCCCATTAAAGTCTCATATGTTTTGTGTTGATGTGGCGGATGGCAGAACCCATTTAGAGCAGGCAGGTTTGCGGGGTCTGGGGTGTCCCTCTCCCTGCCCTATAACATTGATATATTCTTTTTATATTTTCAAATTTAAGTTGCCAATATTGTGTTAAGGATGGATTTATATTTTGTTATTCTATTCATGAAAAGATGTGGAATTCTTTCAATTTCCAATGCATGTTCAAAGTTGTGTCAGCCTAACAGTATGGAAATGGTCTCTTGTCCAGTCTCTGGAAGAATTTATGTAGTGACATTATTCTTAATGCTTGAAAGAATTCAGGAGTGAATTCTGGAGTAGGCCTCGAAATGTGGGAAACTTAAATAATGGATTTATTTTTGTGTTTTATTTTTTAAAGATTGATTTATTTATTTATACAAGCACTAGGTACAGTCAGAAGCGAGGGAGGGTGAGAGAATTCACCAGAGCCAGAGCAGGGAACAGAACAGGCAGACTGAGGAAACACACTGCTGAGGGGAGCAGTGGGCGTGGCAGGAGAGGTCTGTCATGCCATGTGGGACCCTCGCTGGCAGCTGGGGATTGAACTGGCGCTGCAGAGGCTGCGGGCAGCTTTGCAGCCCAGCGCTCAACCGCTGCGCCACCAGGGGAGGCCCTATTTTTGTGTTTTATACACCATAAAATCCACCCTTTTAAAGTGTGCAACTGAATGGTTCTTAGTATATTCATAAAGCTGTGCAACCATTACCACAATCAATTCCAGAAAATTTAAATCATCCCCAAAAGAAACCACAAACCCATTAGCAGTAACTATAGTCCCTGGTAAAAACGAACTCCTGTTGCCATACATTTAACTATGATGGTTATTTCACATAAGGGGGATCAAACACTATGTGGTCTTCTGTGGTGTGTCTTTGAATTTATAATGTTTTTCAAGATTCATGCAGTGTGCATGTACTTCATTCCTTTTTGTGCATGAATAATATTCCATTGTATGTATGTACCACATGTTGTCCATTTATCAGTTAATGGAATTTTAGGTTGTTTCCATTTTTGGTTATTATGAATAAATTCTGCCATGAACAAGTCTTTGTGTAAGCATATGCTCTCAATTCTCTTGGGTAAGAACATAATTACTGAATTATACAGTAACTCCATGTTAACTTTTTGAGGACTACTTCACAAAGTGGCTGCACCATCTTACAATCACCTCAGCAACATGAGGGTTCCAATTTCTCCACATCCTCACCAACTGTCACTTTTTCTAATATTTTTCTAATTATTACTAATAACCTAGTGGTTAGGGAGTATCTCATTATAGTTTACAGTTGCAGTTGTTTTCCTATCACTTTGAAGATTCCTTTACCTTCTTTCACTGCTTTATTGTGCCACTTCATGAAAAAAATTTTGAAGTGATGTGACATTTTTCTCACCACTCTAGACCCTTTTTAAAAAATTTTCAATAATATTGGTAATATTTGCATAGGTATGATTTTCTCTAAATATATTTTACTTGTGGGGGCCTCCCTGGTGCCATAGGAGTTAAGTCTCAGAGCTATCATTTCTGAGTTTGAGCCCCAACCAGGTAGCTAACCCACACATGGCACAACAGACCTCTCCTGTCTCACTCACTGCTTCCCTTAGCCGTGTATTTCATTAGATCTGTCTGTTCTGCTCCCCACTGTCTCTGGTGAATTCTCTTACCCTCTGCACCTCTGGCCTACACCCCAGTTCTTATATGCCTAAATAAATTATAAGGGGTTTGAAAACTGTTACTTGATAATTTTCCCAAGTTTTAGGAAATTTTTAAGCATTCACTCCAAGTATTTTCTATTTCTTCTCTTTCTGCAACTACAGGTGTATTAATGTTAGCCCTTCTCTATATTACATTGTTTTCTGATTCATTCCTATTCTTCTATGCATCATTCTTTTCTCACCAAATTTCTTCCTTTAGGCCTGTTTCTTCTGGTGTTAAACTTACTCACTAAATTCTTAAATTTCATCCATCATATTCTCTTAGTTTAATTCCCAACTCTCTATTAAAACTTTCAATCTCTTCTTTTTCTCCCGAGAGCGGAACACATGGCATTTTTAAACCTAAACATGTCTAAGTGCTCCACACAGTGCCTTCTAACTCCAGAATTGGATAGACTTACCCTTCCCAGTCACAAGCAGTGCTGGATCAGGGTAAAGAAGTAGTAAAGAATATGCACACTATGAAAGCAGAGTCACTCCCAACATAAGTGATTATTCTTTTCCATTTCTTTCTGCCGGTTGCCTGTAGGATCACTTTTTTATATTAAATTCTCAGTTGGAAAATAAGGTAAAAGTGTCTGCCCAGTCTCACATAAGAGAACTAGAGTTACAAATTCTCAGGAAAAAACCGACAATTTCCAATGACTAAAATTTACAGGCACACTAGGCAGATAGGGAAAATGGCAAAATGAGGATAAAAAGGAAGGGAAGAGACATTACAAAAGACCTAACTAGATAAAGAGTTTATACTTCATCCTGTAAGTAATTAGGAGGAGGTTGATAATTAAGGTTAATGATGAGAAACAAGATGAAATCCATTCTAGAAAGAAAATGCAGATAAATTATGAAAAAGATTTGAGGACAAAATAAGGCAAAGACCAGTTAGAATAATCTAGGCCAGGGAAGACCAGAGTCACAACCAAAGCACCAAGATAAAGAATGCATTTTATCTGTAAAGTCATATATCTTGTCTTTAGCTAATGACTATGACAAGAAAATGAAATTTAATCCCAGCTTTCAAGCACTACTAATAGAGTATAGCACCCAAACATTTCAAAGACAGACAATAAAAGGTAGTATCTCATTTATATATCTGGTAGTAAAAAGCTAGGCAACTATATTGAAGAGGTTACAATTAAAGAGTATGTATCAGCAAAATTCACTTTGTAACTTGAACTTTGATTATTATCACCCATCAAAGAACAATGGCAAAAGATTTTAAAAATATTTTTCAATGATATCATTTTAATATGTAATTATCTTCTAGATATTTTCCTATTTTAACTAAAGTAAGACACAAAAATGACTTCATTTTATTATTTAATATTTTTAAATTTAAGACTACTTCAATTTAGGTTTCTTAAATACAAAATTTAATGAAAATAATTTTACCTCTCAATCATAGCTTCTTAATACAAAGTGGAAAAGTGGCAGTCTTCCTTAAAAAAATAAAATCAGCATTTCCAACAAAACTAAGTGGGTTTATATGTAGCTAGCTCAGAAAGGGATATAATACCTAAAGACAGGGATAAATACCTATTTTTAACCCGCCCAAATGAAATATTTACTAGAGTTTAATGTTTTAAATATGCCATTTAAAATAAATTATCCTTGAAAAATAAGGTTTTTAACCACTTAATACAATCTCTGAAATGGTATCTAGGTAATAGAATATCTGCCTTAAATGCATTAGGCAAATATTTACAATCAGCAAAATAAAAACCAGCAAAGCAATCTGCACCTGAATACATTAATAATTATTAACATTTCAACAATGACTCACTATATGATCCATCAGTAAACACCAATACAATGCTTTAGCAATTATTTAATGTGAATGACAAGAGGTGAACGAATTTCTCAGTAATAGTGGCTCACCAAATTCTTTCTTGCAACAGGTACTACCAAAGTTAATTTGTTTAAAAAAATCTAAATACACAAACACAAGTAAACTTTTTAAACTAAAAGTTATAAAACCTCCCTTTCCCCAATTACAAAGTTTCAAAAACAAAATAACAAATTTAGTTCTAAATGTTTCCTGTTTTGTTTTCTTACAGTTTTTATAAACTATTCAATCTCTTCTTCAGATTCTCAAGGTGTTCCGCATTCACATCCTGTAATGCCAATACCATTGCTTTAGACAAGGAGGGATTGAATGAAATAGTCATTAGACAGCACAAATCTATTAGATCTCTTTGACATTTCTGCAAACCCTCCAGAAACTTCTGGTATTGAAGAGGGTTCTTTTTTAACTGTTTCATTTCTGATACTGAAAACCCTATCAGACTAGTAAGTATTTCATCTACAAAATCTACATCTAGATATGCAGTACCATCAGAAATTTTTGCTGTTATACTCCAAATGCCACCAGAACTTGAGAGATTTCCAGTTAAGGTTACAATGAAAGCTTTGACTGTCACCGTTGTTACTTCTTTTGGCTTGTTAGCCATTAAAACAGACAAATACGTAAACGGTGGAGAATATAAATCCATGGCGATAGAATGATTAGTGCTATTCTCTGATGATCTTAAAGAACAAGTCTGTAAATTGGGATCACTTTCATTAGAAACTTGTAAACTGCTTTTTGGAACATAATTGATCAACTCTCTATTTAGTCTTTCATTTTTTAAGGACTGTCCATCTGAAATGTTGATGGCTTGTTTTATTTTATTATCTATCTCTGAGTTCTTATCTTTGTTTATAAAATCATAAGATGGAGGCACATTATGAAGTGAAAAAACACTGTTTTGGTCTCCAGCAGTTGGACAACTAAAAGAGTTGTCTTCATGAGACATTTGTTCAGATATTTTCTCCTTCCCATTATCACTTCCATTTTTGCAAAACAAAGAAACATTATTCAGAGTATTAGGTTTACATGAAAATCTCTCTATATTTGCATCTGTGTTTCTGTTTAAAGTCAAAGGCTGCAATTCTTTGGTCTCCATTTGTTCTTTCTGAACAGTTTCTTCTAAAAGCAAGGCCTCTTCCAGAGAAAAGTCATCTAATTCCCCATCAGTGAACTGCATACACTGATTTGGTAGTTTCTTCATTGGTATTGGAGAAATAACAAATCCTCGCTCAACACCTGACTCTTTTGGGGGAACAGTATTTGAGGCACTACCTATGCTGCAGTATCTTTCCAAAGAGGCATCATTATTTGCTGCAAGCTCATCATTTTCTTCAAGACTTGCCAAGAGTTCTTCATCAGAAGGCCCCAACGCAGGATCTAGAACATCTGCATTTCTGGAGATGCTTTGGTTAGAAATACTTGGTATGACTGAAACTATGGGATCAGGCTCCCCAATTAATCTTGCAAGTATTTTTTCTTGGGCATAGTCCTCTAAAAGAGCATCTACTTCTCCTCCCAATACCTTCACATTTTCTGGTTTCAGTAAGAGAACACCAAGTCGGAAAGAAATATTTCCATAAATCAAAATTTTTGTACCTGGAGGAAGATTACAATGAAGACCTGGAATAGACTGATATTCCATTCCCTGCATTTGTACAACTCCATCAGTTAGCTGTAACATCAACATTCGTGAAGGTTTTGCTTCCCAAGGTTTTTGGGTTACTTGTATATCAGCTGTAATTAGGTCATTCGTTGTATTCTTTCCTCTCAACTTTTGTATCTGGGAATATGCAGGTTGACTTACATCGACCAGTGAATTAATCTGCAGCGCAAAAAACCCATTCAGTTCTCCTTTTGGAACTTCCAAAATGCCATCAGGTAAAAGAGGATACTCCAAATCTCTTAGATCAGTAAGGAGCCATTGCTCAAACACTTGTTTATTCATTTGTGCCTGATTCATTTGTATATTATCATTTTCTTCTTGGATCCAGTTAATACAAGCTTCCAGCCACGTTAGAGGAACTTTCACATGCCATGTAGCTAAAAGCCACGTCTCAACTCTCAATGCAATACTAGTTATACTCATTTCTTTTTAGTAAATACTACGCATCTATTACCTGAAAACAAAACAAAACAAGAAATCAGTACACTTAAATATAGTTTTTGTAATTCTCTACAATGCACACACAGGCATAATCGAACCCTTTAGATTTTTTTTCTTTTCAGCATCTTAAAGTTCATTGACTTTCCATGTAGCCAAAATTCAAATACTACCAAAATCAGGGCCTCCACGGTGGCACAGCGGTTGAGTGCTGGGCTGCGAAGCTGCCCGCAGCCTCTGCAGCGCCGGTTCAATCCCCAGCTGCCAGGCGAGGGTCCCACATGGTACGTAGACCTCTCCTGCAGCCCGCTGCTCCCCTCAGCAGTGTACTTCATCAGTCTGCCTGTTCTGCTCTCCGCTCTGGCTTGGGTGAATTCTCTCACCCTCCCACACTTCTGACTGTACCCAGTGCTTGTATAAATAAAATAAATATCTTTAAAAAAAAATCGACTAATTCTCAACAGCAAGGACTGCTCAGCAAGTCCTACAGGGCCTGCCTGGTGGCGCAAGGGATTAAGACGCAACCTATGAAGCAATCTGCAGCCACTGCAGCATGAGTTCAATCCCCAGGCCGGCCAGGGAGAAACCCACATGGCGCAGCAGACCTCTCCTGACTCGCCCACTGCTCCCCTCAGCAGTGTATTTCAATCACTCTGCCTGTTCTGCTACCCGCTCTGTCTCTGGTGAATCCTCACCGCCCCCACCTCTGGCCCGTACCCTGGTTCTTGTATATGCATAAATAAAATAAATCTTTAAAAAAAAAAAAAAACAAAAACCAAGTCCTACAGGTAAATATACTTCTGATTTTCTCAGTATGGCAAAACACTAATGGCAATCACTAACTCTAACCCTATATTCACAAAAGTGTATCATTACCTTTCACTGATGAAGATACTTAAGAGCTAAAATTTATAAAAAGTTTTAATATGTTCCTAAGAAAACATGCCACTTGGGGCCTCCCTGGTGACACAAGGGGTTAAGATGCAGCACTATCTATCTGCAGCCACTGCAGTAGGAGTTCGATCCCCAGACAGGGAGGTGACCCACATGGTGTAGCAGACCTCTGCTGACCTGCCCTGTTGCTCCCCTCAGCAGTGTATTTCAGTCAGTCTGCCCATTCTGTCTTTGGTGAATCCTCTCACACACACCCCATACCTCTGGCCTGTACCCCAGTTCTTGTATGCATAAATAAATAAATCTTTAAAAAAAAAGAAAGAAAGAAAACATGCCTCTTGGAACAAGAGCATAAGATTTGATAAAAAGATTTGGAAATGGGGCCTCCCCGGTGGCGCAGCGGTTGAGTGCAGGGTTGCGAGGTTGGCCGCGGCCTCTGCAGCGCCGGTTCGATCCCCGGCTGCTCCCCGGCCACCAGAGGAGGGTCCCACATGGGCGCAGACCTCTCCTGCCGCCCGCTGCTCCCCTCAGCAGTGTACCTTGGTCCTTCGGCCTGTTCTGCTCCCTGCTCTGGCTCTGGTGAATTCTCTCACCCTCCCACGCTTCTGACTGTACCCAGTGCTTGTATAAATAAATAAATAAATCTTAAAAAAAAAAAAAAAAAAAAAAAAAAGATTTGGAAATGGTTGCTCAGTAAAGTACTTGCAAACTCTACTGCACAGAAATGGCCCTGGGCATTAAGACAAGAAACATTAAGGGTTATAAGAGGAAGCTGCAAAAAGATTCAATGCCCTATTTTAAAAAATACAAGAGTTTGATGGTACGACTTTATTATCAATCAGGATAGAGTAAAAACATGAGGGTAAGACAGAAACAAGTGACCATGAGAAACTGACACACTCGAAGCCTGTATCCTTATCTATATATTTACCTCACAGGACTAATGTGAAAATTAAGGAATACAGGGGAGAACCACAGGCAGGAGACAATCATAAGGACAGATGTTGGAAGGCTGTGTCAGCTGACCCAAGAGCAATCTAGCTCACTTAAGTAACTCACCCGAGCCTCAGTCACCATCACCATGGCCAGTCGGTCACAGAGCAATGAAGCAGATGCAGCAGGCCAAGAAGTGGGTGACCAAGGTATCTGAGGCCCAAAAGGGAAAAAGAACTGGAGGCTTAAGAAAGCCCAGGTAACTGAGGCTGAAGCTCCATTTATACTGCCTACAAATGGAGAGTGTTCATGGCCAAAGAAGCTGTTGTGGGAATCTACTATAGGGGTACCACTGAGGTGTCAGAAAAAAATCATGCTTCAGATCTACTTCAGAACAGGGATGAAGTAGTCCTGGATAATCTCTTGTGCTTTTTCCGCAACATTCAACAGAAATCCATGAAAATTACCTCACAAATGAATAGGGGAATAAGAAAGAAGTGCCTGTCCAGAGATGAGCATTTTTGATGTCTTCATGGAACACGAAACTTTAGCAAAGCTTGAGTTATACTCTTATGAAAAGGCATTACAGGGCCTCCCCGGTGGCGCAGCGGTTGAGCGCTGGGTTGCGAAGCTGCCATTAGCCTCTGCAATGCCGGTTCAATCCCCGGCTGCTCCCCGGCCACCGGAGGAGGGTCCCACTTGGAGCACAGACCTCTCCTGCCGCCCGCTGCTCCCCTCAGCAGTGTACTTCGCTCCTTCTGCCTGTTCTGCTCCCCGCTCTGGCTCTGGTGAATTCTCTTACCCTCCCGTGCTTCTGACTGTACCCAGTGCTTATATAAATAATAAATAAATAAATAAATCTTAAAAAAAAAAAAAGGCATTACATTACTTCTGTGCATTACAGAGTAGGTCCCATCATTTGGAGAAAAGCAAATATTACTTCTTGGTACAAACTTAAAGTTCATCCAAAAATTTCATTCCCCCCCACCCCCGATATTTCTTAGAAATTTAATGGTATATTGTCTAGTTTCCTATATTTTTTAGCTCAAGCAACACACATATATGTTAATATATGCCTATATATCTTTATTAGATAGAGTAAAAAATATATATCATTATATATAGTAAAAAAATATTCTTTTTAAAAGAGGTTAAATTTTTTTTGTCTAAAGTTTTCTTAAAGGTTAGGGCTTTTATCTATCAAAAAACAGTAAATAATCATTTGTAATCTGTGTTACACAACAGCCAACCTTAAAATAGTCCTTTCTAGCTAAGGGTTAGTTAGGATAATGAATACTACACCTACTAAAATGGTTTAGGCTGCTTTTAGATTCCCTTAATCAAAACTACTACATGATAGAATCAAGACCTTGTTGCATGTTATTGCTTGGCATAGTGATAAAGACTCTTTTTATCATGTGAAAAAATAAAGCAGTTAGGACAGCCAGTATATAATCTAATGATTCAGAGTAAAATCTGGTACCAAATTATCTTCCACTCACAAACTATGTCCCTAAACAAGTAGTCATATTATTAATTTAATGAATGGTTAAAATTTAAAGGAGGAATTATATCTATTGTGAAAGTTACATGAATATTTTAAACAAGGAGTTAAGAAGGTCATTATAATTATATATATACAGGTGACTCTTTATATTGAAGAACATGACTGAGTATAGTTTTTTTTTTAATTAGAGATGAAAAACAATGAAAAATTCAAAAGCAGAAAGTACCTGCAAAGGGAGGGGAAATAATCATGGAGAAAATTTTAAAAATTAAAGAAATAAAGAAAAATTTCCAGTATTCAGATGGAAAGAACCTAGCACAATGAATAAAAATAGATATACAACAAAGCTTATATTTATGAAACTTTAGATACAGGGACAAAGACTCTGCAAGCATCCAGAGAGGGAAAGCAAACAACAAACAGGTCACATTCAGAATATCACAAATGAAAATGTCTTCACATTTCAGTGTACACTAGGAGGAAAAATGATCAATTCATTCAAATTTCTGAATGAAAATTTTTCCAACCTATATTTACCCAAGCAACATATAGATCTAGTATGAAATGTAGTGAAATAAAAATATTTTCAAGATAAGCACTGTCTAAAACAATACTGTCTAACATAACAGCAGAATACACCAAGAAAAAAGGAAAACATGATAGCCCAGATCTTACATAGAAGAAAGGCAAAACATCACAGTTAAGAGTATTTACAGGATGTTAAAGGTAACCATCCAGAAGCCCTGAGGAGAAATCATTATCCAAGAAGATGAAACTGTGTAAAATCACTGTGTCCAGGACTTCACCTCTTCTCTTTCTTGGCTTATACCTCTACACCTTAGTTGGGGCACTGATATGTATCTCAATGTAGAGCAGAAATTTAAATAACTTGTAGAGTTGAGTTAAAATGATGAAAATATATACAAAAAAAGAATTCAGAAGGAAACAAAATGTTATACAGGATAAGTTTTTGTTTTTTATTTTCTTAAAAAGAACTGGGGTGTAGATCAGAGGATTCATCAGAAACAGAGTGTGAAGCAGAAGAAGCAGATTTATTGAAATACACTGCTAAGGAGAACAGCATGAGAGACAGAAAAGGTCTGCTGTGCCATATGTGTATTAGCAACCTGGTCAGGATCCAACTCAGGCAGTTGCAGTGGTAGTACTGAGACTTAACCCCTGAGGCCACAAGGGAGGCACTGAAAAAATAGTATTTGTATACTACATGGCTTAGTTGTAAATAATGCATATATAGTCATGGCAATACAGTAACAAGATAGCAAAATACGTGTGTGGGGATGGGGGTGAGAAAGGTAAATATAGGAGAGCTAATTCCTATCTCCATTGTGAAAGTCAACAGAATGCCTAAACAAAAACAACAAAAAAAATCTAACAGCGTATCTGTGTACAGGTGTCCAGAGATACAGATGTAAATATTAAAAAAAAAAAAATCAGCTATAAAAGTTGCTTCTGGAGAACAGGAACAAAGGGGAGGCAGGGGAGTCCTATTTTTCAAAAAAAAGTTTTAACATTTGAGACTTTATATGAACAAAATTTTTATTTGATTTTCTATATTTCAGTGATTTCTCTGTACTGATAACTAACTTCTGGGGAAGATTTTTCTTAACTTTAACTTCTCCTCTGCAGGAGTATTATTCAGAAATTGGAACCACTACTGAATT